TTTTCTTTTTTACCCCCCCGGCCCCGCCAGCCCCAGCCACACTGCAGGACAGCAGCCGGCAGCCCCTCTGCGGCAATGGAGCGGGCTCCAAACCTGGTAGGTGACTGCACAGTGGCTCAGGGCTCACTCTTTCTTCTCCTTCTTTAATATAACTACTTGCACGCTTGTTTATGGGTGGCTACCTGGGTTTGTTTGCTTTGGAGACGCATGCTGTGGCCTGCCAGGCCCATCGGTCCCACGCCTGGCATGGGGAGGACGCAACAGCCTTGGAGAGCAAAGCTGCGACAGTTGGACCGGACGGTCCGGCACCGGAGAGGGCAAACAGCCCCGGCCGAGCGGTCCCTGCCCTGGGGCACCGCACACCCGCAGGAAGGGTTACGGATAGCAGGCAGGGCTGCAGGACAGCAGGCAGAGAGCGGGGCTGCCTGCGGCTGGCTGCAGGGACACCAATAACAGGGAACAGGACTACAGAGAGCAACTTTGTTCGCTGCTGGGCAGCCTGCCGGGTGTCAGCACACAGGAGCTCGGCCCTGCGAGACCGGAGGGAGAAGGAAAGGAAAAAGCATCTTTCTTTCTCTCTCATCGTCCTTGGAACACAGAGAGGAGAGGAGGGTTTGGATAAAGATCCCATTCTTGACTGTCTCATCTCTAAAGCTCCTTTTAAACCAGAGGCTGCCCAGGTACAGCCTGAGTTGAGGGTGTTCCCATCCCTCCCAGCATGCAGGCACCCCGGGATGGGCAGGGAGGGGACTGGGCACAGCTCGGGCAGCACATGCAGGGGCATTTTGGGCAAGGCAAATTGCCAGCTGCGACCTGGGCAAGGGGCTTTGCAGCCACACACATCAGCTGGGGCTTGGGCTATGGGCTCACCATGACCGTGTGCCCACCACCCCTGCAAACTGCCCTCGTGTGCTTCCACGGGTCTCACCCACAGGCCAGCATTGCCCTTTGGGGGTTGCGTGTGCCACCTCAAAGTCAATGTGGTCCTGCCATAGCCCGATGACCCACAGGAGGTGGGAGAGCTCCCCTTCCATGCCAGCCCTGTGGCCTGGGCAGCCTCACACCACCCTCCTTCCTCCTCAGCTTCTCCTCTGCATCTTCACCTTTGCCATGGTCCTGGTCCCTGAAGCGAAGGACCAAAGCAAGGCAGCGAAGGGCAGGAGAAGGGGCCCGACACGGCCCCCCACAGATGCTCCTGCGCTGGCCTGGGCCCTGGACGACTCCTACACCTCCATGGCAGACTACGAGCGCAGCATCCAGGACATGGTACACCAGCTGAGGAACAGCTCCGAGCCAGGAGACACCAAATGCCAGGTCAACCTGAGGCTCTGGAGATCCAACCGGAGGAGCCTGTCCCCCTGGGCCTACAGGTGAGCTTGGGGCAGGGACCTCAGGGACATGCATGGTGGCTCCGTGCCAGCAAGTGCTGTGGTGGCCACGGCTCCAGCGTCACAGGGCTGCAGTGGCTGCTAGGGGGTGCGATGGGACGCAGCACCCTGTTTCGCCCTGTGGAGGCATTGCCCTGCCTGTCTCCAGCCACTCACCGCACGACCTCTCCAGCCTCACCTTGCTGTCCCTCTCCTCCAGCATAAACCATGACGCAACACGGATCCCAGCAGACATCCCTGAGGCCCGATGCCTCTGCACCGGCTGCATCAACCCCTTCACAATGCAGGAGGACCGCACCATGGCCAGCATTCCCATCTACAGCCGGCTGCCTGTCCGCCGGCTGCTCTGCCAGGTGCCGGGTGAGGTTGGGCACAAGCCCTCTGGGAAGAAGTGTCACAAGAAGTATCAGATGGTCATGGAGACCATTGCTGTGGGCTGCACCTGCATCTTCTGAGGTTGCAGGGCTTAGCTCTGCAACCATGCGTGGGCATCTAACCAGCTTGCTCTTGCTTCCTGAGCTTGCCCAGCCATCTGGGAGAGAGCTGCCTGGCCAAGCGTCAGGGCAAGGAGAGCCCCTGTGCAAGGAGATAGCAGCTCCATGAGCTCCCCGAAATCCCCCTGCAGACTCCATCAGCCTCAGCCCAAGCAGCCGAGACCACCCCGACCCCCCCTCAGCTCCAGGGAGCTCAGCAGGGTGGGCTGCGGGAGAGAGGAAGGCAGCCACCAGCAGATCCAGCTGGCTGGGCAGGATCCAGCCTCCTCCCTCCCCAAAGCCCCTGCTGCCTGTGCTCGCTCCATCGGTGCGGCAGCTCCGGAAGTGCCCGCTCCTCCCCAGCGCTCCCCTGCAAGTTCCTCTGTGCTGAGCGGGGCAAGTGGAGGACAGTTTGGGCAGTTTCTGAGGTCCTCAATAAAGTGCATCGCTGTCCCCCGTCTGAGCCACGCCCCGCCTTGGCTGTCGCGCTGCCCCTCCACCCCTGCCTGCCTGCAGGCCCAGGCATGGGTGCTGCCCAGACTTCTCCCAGCGAGCCTCGTCTGCCCCCCGAAACACGGCTGAGCCCCAGGCTCAGGGAAGCCTGGACACCCCTGGAAACAGGGAGCACCCAGCAGTGTGCACCTCTCCCACCCTGCACGCCCATCCCCGGGGTGCCAGGCCAGTGAAGGGGGCTGGGCTCCACATGTGCACGGTGTGAGAGAGGCCATGGGACCTCCTGCCCCAGCCCTGCCACAGAGCTTCCCAGGGGCACAGCCAAGAAGGCAGCAAAGGCAGAGCAGGAGCCAGGCAGCCTGCTGGCAGGCAGGACCCTGCCCTGAGCCAGCGCCCATCTGCTGCTGGCACCAGCCAGCCTCGTCCTTGGAAGCCCCCTGAGCTCCCACCAGAAAACAGATGCGCAGTGACCTCTTTTCATAGGAAAAGGCAGTAGAGCCTGGGGAGGGGGAACAGGCAAACTGAGGCACACTGCACACACACGCAGCAACACTGGGCAGGGACTGCATTCCTGAAGGTGAAGCATGTTCAAGTCACCCGGGACACGGCCCATCCCCTCTCCTCCAGCCCCAAATCCCTTGGTGTCCCTAAGGCAATAAACACTGCCCAGGCTACTTGTCATGGTTTAACCCCAGCTGGCAACTAGGACCACACAGCTGCCCGCTTACTCCTCACCCCCCCAGTGGGATGGGAAGGAGAATGGGGGAAAAAAAAAAAAAAAAAAAAAGAAAAACTCATGGGTTGAGAAAAAAAAAGTTTCAT